GGTGGGGGGGGGGGGGGGGGGGGGGGGCAATGCGTTTAAATAGCCGCCCTTTTGCGCCGAAGCTCGATCACATCCTCCTTGCTCTCCATCCCTTCCAACATCTCGAGACGCTTTTGGACATACTCCGCCATGTCAGACTGGTCTCGCCTAGACGATATGGAGTCTCGTGCTCCCAGCCTCACGGGCACCACAACCTCGGTGAGAATGGATGTCACTCTTCGGATGAAAGCACGAAGATAGCGTAGCTGACAAGCGAAGTGCTTATATTACTAGGCGCAGACGGCATCGGCTGAAGCTACTGCTGCTGGGCAGAGTGAAGCCGATAGCATGAAGGAGCCAGACTCTGCTGCCCTCGGTCTCCCAATCCAGACCGGGTACGAGATGATTCTTGGTGGCGATAACAGCGTGAGCATCGACTACCTACTGGATCGAAGCTGCCCGTGGTCGGAAGAGGCTTGGGAGATTGTTCTGCAGCCTTACAACGTACCGCTTCCAGTGGACGACAAGACCCAGTTTGGCCCACAGGAAAAGGCCGAGATCATCACACAGATCGGTAAGGTCTTTGGCCAATGTCATCTGTTCGAGGGAGCATCGGTTCCCAGAATTCACTTTACGGATCAGAGGGTCCACGTGACGGAAGCCACGCAGGAAGTCATGGTTTCCCTTTGGAGGAATCCGCCCATCTTTCGAGAACGTCCAATGACGATCGTCTCGAAGGGATTACCTTTCCCCGACATCTCGGTCTTCGTGATCGACTCTTTCCCGGCCCACACAAGGCAAGAGATCCTCAAGAAGCTTGAGGAGACAACGTCCAGTACGAGCCATAAGGTCCAATTCGCGATTGCTAACATGTACCACGTGCGTTCGATGCCCTGCGAGCCGATGTGCGCCGGGGAGCTCATCATTTTTAGAGGAAGTGTTCAGCGGCAAGCGCTGCAGGTCGGGTACTACGTCCAACAACACTACAACACCATTGACAAGGTAGAGGGTCTGGGCACCGGACGGCTCATCCCTTATCCGAAGATTTAGGATGAAGCACTGTTCCAAAGCGTCCGGACTTCCTCGTTGATGCCTGTAGCAGCGAAGCGCGGAGGCCGTCTCAGCATCGACAATTTTGGTCTCGAAAGCTTCGACTTGCGTCTCAATGATATGTCCATTCTTCTCCAACTGTATCTTTGTCTGGCTCGAGGCTCGAGTGATGTGAGCATGGTGCGGCGGTGTAGGCTCGATGTGTGCGCTGTTCCCTACCAGACGCGCTGGCAATGATCCCACGAGGCCGTGCAGACAGAAATGAACGCGACGCGTCGCGACGGACAAAGGGACCTGGCTTGGGGGCCGTTTGCGCGGCTGCTGGGCCGGCCTTCTTTGATGCGGGTTCTGACAGGCGTGTCAAGCGGCTGATCCCACCCTGAGTGCGGCCTCCTGCAGGCGTGCGTCCAATTTGGCTCACACCTGCCAGCACCCTGCTCACGCCTGTCAGGCGGCTGATCCATCACCTCCCTCATCCATCTTGGCAATCATATTCCTCATCACCTTGCTAATCCTGAACCATGCTCGTTTCATCTCTATGCCCCTTCGGGGGAGGTGAAAAGCATATAAGCCAATCTCTTTCGCGATGTCTTGTCGTCTCCATCCCATTGCATTCCCGCATCCTCACAGCATCTTCCAACGCTACCCTCTTTCAACACGATTCAAAATGGTTGCTCTTATTCAGGCTACTCGCTACCCTTCTGCATCGGCTCAAGACCCAAGGGTCAACATTGCACGTGCCATCATGTCGGCCGTTCCTCGCACTGCCGTGGATGAAAAGCTGCAGACGGTCAAGACCGCGGCGGAGAAGGTGCGAAGCTACGGCGCCATTGCCACCCGCACTCGCGAGAACCGTCTCGCCGAACTCAAGAACTCCATCTCGCGTCCAATCTCCCTCCCCAACACTCAATCACCAACGGACGGCCCTGCTTCAAGCTCCTACGTCGCCGAAAGCATGGACAGCAGATGGTCGACCCAATCTTGGCCTTGCGAAACCACACCACTCGTGGAGCGTTCTAGCGCCTTCGAATTCGATGAGCAGCTGCACGACGATCCGCGCAACTCCACTTGCAGCCAAGGGTCCTTCGTCACCCGTCCCTACTCGTTCTTCTAGCTTCCCGCACTACCGAATCGTTATACCCGTCTCGTCTATCTTCATATTTGCGTGTCAAGGTCGTGTGAGTCGTGAATGGTGGTATCATTAAATCAACGCCGGTCAAGCCTTCAGCTTTTCCTTGAGCTTCATAAAGCCACTCGGCTTATGCTCGTCGCCATTCTCTTTGCTCGACTTGCTGCCGATGTGTAGCTTGTGCTTGATGCGTTCCGAGAGCGACTTGTGCTGCGAGTCGTCATCCTCGTCTGCTTCCGTCTGCTTGTGCTTCTTCTCCTTCTTTTCCTTCTTCTTGGACGACTTGGTCTTGCTCATCATCTTACCGTACCTCTCCATGCCGGCGAGCATGAGCAGGCTCTTGGAGAGCGTGACGCGGTCCAGATCCACGCCGGAATCCTGGAGCTTCTTGACAAAGTACCGGAAATGCGCCGTGCCCGCCCGATAGTGGCCAGACAGTGGACTGAGGCTGGTGAGCGTGCCATTGTCGACCTTGAGCAGACCGGCCGAAAGCACACGGCCGCCGTAGAGGAAGGACGAGTGCTGGAAATAGCCCGTCTGCTTGAGGCCAATGTACAACTCGTGACGCGAGTTGAAGACGTAGATCCAGGTGTTGTTGCCGATGGTCTTGCGGAGTAGCATGTCGGACCAGTTGGCCGAGTTGAGTGCGTCGAGATGGCGCGATTTGCCCGAGCGTTTGGACTGGTAGTGCTTGGCTGCCTGCGTGCGCTCCTCCTTACTCATCTCCTCCCCATCGCTCGATGACGACGAAGATGACGAAGATGACGACGAGGAACCATCGAGGTACGAGTCAAGCGAGCTTTCCGATACGCCGCGTTGCAGTGCACGACGCTCGCGGTCCTTGCGCAGCTCCTGCTGCTCTTCCTCACCGATATCGACGATCCCCCTGCCCTTGCCGAGGTCCTTGTGCTTGTTGCGCTTGGTGTCAACGGGCTTACCGTTGCGACGCCAGACGAGCTTGCCGTCCTGAATGTCGACGATGTAGTTGCGGCGCTGTTCGGAGCTGAGGTAGATGACGCATTCGGAATCGAGACGCTCGCGCGGACAGTCGTCGATGTTGAGCTCCTTGCCTTCGCCCTCGTCGAGCCACCGGAAGAAGTTTTCGCGCGTGTCGGCCTGCATCCACGCCTTGTGGTAGTACTTGAGGTTGGAGCCGTAGCGATGCTTGCGGTCGACCATCTCGAGCCAGTACTGCTCCTCCATCATCTTGCTGAGCTCCTGCGCCTTTCCACCGCGCGTCCACCATTCGATGAGCTTCAGACCCTTGTCGCCTGGCCGTGCGATGCTGCGGATGTTGTCGACCTTGCCGCCATCTTGCGCCCCTGGAACGTCACCGACCTTGGTGTCTGCGTCGACGAGGGCGTGGTCCTCGGTGTCCTTCGGCTCGAGCGAGGGCCCGCCTTCGACGGGTTCATCTGCGCGGCCGCCCTCGGAGTCAGGCGAGCCATCCATCTTTTCCGCGCCCGATAGCTGGCCCGCAAGAAGCTTGCCGCGTTTCCAGCGGGAGGTGGCGTCATTGCGGCCGGTGTTGGACTGCTTGTTTGCCTGTTCGAGGCGCATGCGGTGTACGGCATCGGACCAGCGGGTATCGGCAGAGATGTTGCATCCATCGAGCTGTCGACGCGTGCGATAGCCGCGGTAGTTGCGCTGGATGAGCAGCGCTGCGTCGCGGTCGCGATCGGTATCGTGGTTGTGCTCGTGCTCGTTTTGCTCTGGTTGCGAGGGCTTCGGGTCGCTGGATGGCTGCTGCGCCTCGACAGCGGGTGGAGTCGTGCGTACTTGTGTGGAGGACATGATGTATAGGAGGTGCGCGGAAAATGTTCATGCGCAGCGACGGGTATAGAGGTGGGGAGGTGGATGATGGAGGGAGGAGAGGATGGTCAAGCGCACGCAGAAGGGGGCTGGCGCTTTCAGGGACGCCAAGAGACACTCGTGAGACAAACGGGACGTGGGGCAGATGAGACATTAATTCGCAGGAGCGCCAAAGCTGCGGCGCTTGTCCATGTGGGCAGTCGTCATCAGCTGGGAGACACAAAGGGCCTCGATAAGGAGGGCCTCACGATGGCCATGCCGCCGGTCGGCTACGCAAGCGATGCGCTGGACCGGCCGACCGGCTTCCCGACGTGATGAGTGGGTGTATGCGTGTGGGGTGGTTGAGCGGTGTACGAATCCGAGAGCGGCCGAGCAAAAGCGTCGTCGCAATGAAGTCATTGTGCGCGGGGCAGCTCGTGGGCATCGCCTCGTGGCGGAAAAATATTGAAATGTTAGACCGGATTGAAGAAGAGCTCTGGGTCTCCGTCTCCCGAGCATGAAGGCGAGGTTGTCGTTGGACCCTGGACTCTCTTCGTCCTCGACAACTACAGCATCCAGGCCAGGTATTCTTTCGTGCGATCTCAGCGAGAGGCAATAGGCAGCAAGCATGGCGACACCATCGACGGTCAAGGTCAAGGTCGAGTTCGGCGGCGGTACGGAGCTGCTGCTTGCGCCGCCGCACGAGAAGAAGCATGCGTTGACGCTGCCGAGCGCCGACGAGGCGGGCAAGGCGACCGACGTGGCGGACCTGATCCAGTACATCCGCAAGAACCTCATCACGGAGCGCGAAGAGCTGTTTGTCGATGGCGACTCGGTGTAAGTGCTGCGCTTCGAGACCAGACGAGTTGTATCGCGAATGACGAAGCTGACGTCTGTGGTTGTATCTCCTGCTCTGGTACAGCCGACCTGGCATCCTGGTGCTGATCAACAACAGCGACTGGGAGCTCGAGGGCGAAATCGAGTACGTGCTGCAGGACGGCGACGAGATCGTCTTCATCAGCACACTTCACGGAGGCTAGACGTCCGCACCACTCAAATCAGCTGCTCTTGTCACCGCCATCGTTGCGACGATCGGGTTCAGCCGACGCAGGCTTGCCACCATTCCCACGCTGCAGCAAGGCGGCTCCAACCCGCCAGGGGTGACTGGACCTTAAGCGCTTGCTCGCTCGACGGCCTCATTGGACATGGGCTTCCGCTACGGCTGCCATGCGGCACATCGGACGATCCGCTCACAAGGTGTCCACGCGGTTCGGCCCTTCCGAAAACCCAGGACCGCGCGGTGTTGGCAGAAGAAAATCGACTTTTTTTTTTGCCGATCCCAGCATTGGCCGCCAGCTCACGCTGTTCTGAAAGCGTGGGCGACGCGCAAAGGGCGGAATTCAAGTCTGCTGCGTGCGGGGTCCAGTGCACAGTCCACCACTCGACACGGCGGCAACTCCGACACCACACACTTCATTTCCACACCGCTCCCACGGCACTGCACTGCCTACCAATAGAAGCATCTTAAAGCTGAGCTTGATTGTGACCATGCGCAAAGTGGCTGCCAGACCAGCTCGAATGCCCGAATAGCACTGCCGACGTGAGGCGTTTCGTTGGAGGCATCGGCTGTTGCGAAGACAGGGCGGAATTTCGGCCACCCGCCGAACAGGGTCGCGCGACCTGGAGCCCTCGACGCTTTCTTCTCGACCTTTTGGAGTAGAGACCGCATACACACCACACCCTCTCTCCGACCCATTCGCACGTCCCCGCTGCATCTCATTCGGCTGCATCATTGTGCTGGCGCAGGCAATCCGGCACACTTCATATCGGATCATGGCCGCCACCACCACCACTGCGAGGGATGCCTCGAAGTCGGCCAAGAAGCGCAATTCCAAGGCGCAGCCTTCATCCTCGGAAACATCGTCGTCTTCCGGTCGCAAAGCTCCATCGGGGCGGCGCGCCAACTCGACATGGCGTCTGCTATCCTGGACCTGCTCGGCCGCACTCTTCCTCCTCGCTTATCTCACCTACAAGAACGATGGCCAACTACCCACCCATCTCCTCAGGCCCAACTCGCGCCACTCACACCCGCCACCCACACACCAACAGCATCCTTTCTCACCGCCGCCATCGAGATCAGATGCCTCGAACGATTGGAACAAGCAAGCACACTTGAAGCCTCCCACCGACAAGAGGGCGCCCTCGCTCGCATACCCGCTCCCACCAACACGGCCTCTTCCCGAACAGCCGCTACGCGCTGCCGACAAGGATCGGCAAGCTGCCGTGCTCGCGGCTTTCAACCACTCCTGGTCGGCGTACAGGCGCGATGCGTGGGGCTACGACGAATACCATCCGATCAGTCAGCACGGCTCAAACCTCAGCGGCAAGGAGGGCCAGGGCATCGGCTACACCATCGTCGACACCCTCGACACGCTCATCCTGCTCGGCCTCAAAGACGAGTACGAAGAGGCGCGCGACTGGGTACAGAACGAGCTCAGCTGGGACGTGCCCGGCAGGATGAACGTCTTTGAAACGACGATTCGCACCCTCGGCGGCCTTCTCTCTGCCGCTGCCCTCATCCGAGATCCGCCTCACCCTGCCTTTGCGCCCAACGAGGACGACGCCCAGATGTTCATTGCACGAGCTGTGGAGCTGGCCGATCGCTTGAAGCCGGCATTCGACACGCCCACAGGAGTGCCATGGCGTGAGGTCGACCTTGAAACGGGCGAGGCGTTCCCGGACCTCAACAACAACAACTCGTCCAGCCTCGCCGAGGCCACCACGATCCAGCTCGAGTTCAAGTATCTGGCGCACCTCACAGGCGACATCGAATACTGGCGCATCGCAGAACGACCGATGGAGGTGGTGCGCAAGGCCACCGCCATGCTCTCGCATCTCCAAGGCCTGCTGCCTATCTTCCTCAACCCGCTCAACGGCCACTTTTACAACGGCGAGATCCGCCTGGGCTCGCGCGGCGACTCGTACTACGAGTACCTCGTCAAGCAGTGGCTCCAGACCGGACGCACCGAGCAGGTCTACCGCCACATGTACGACGGTGCGCTGCGCGGCATCAAGCAGCTGCTCACCAAGCCCTCGGTGCACTCGCGTCCGCCGCTCATGTTTACCGCCGAGCTCGCACCCAGGCGCGCCATGGACGGCCGGCCGTACATGCAGCTCGTTCCTAAGCAGGACCATCTCGTCTGCTTCCTCGGCGGCGCCATGATGCTCGGCTCCACCTCGGACGTCGACATCTTTGGCGACGTGGCGAAGCGACCTATGCCGCCCATCTCGGACGTGGGCAAGGGCGACGAGACGGATAAAGAGGACTGGCGACTGGGCCACGAATTTGTGCGCACCTGCATGGACACCTACACCAACACCAAGACGGGCCTCTCGCCCGAGATCGCCTTTTTCAAGACGCCGCAGGATGCCAAGATGAGCGACGCGCAGATGATCGCGGCGAACCGCGCGCCGCTGCCCAAGAACGTCGACTGGTACATCAAGAAGCCGCCGCCCTCATACCAGGGTCGGCCGAATCCGCTCATCGATGCGCGCAACATCCTGCGGCCCGAGACGGTCGAGTCGCTCTTTGTCGCCTTCTCGCTCACCGGCGACGAGATTTACCGCGACTGGGGCTGGCAGATCTTTGAGGCGTTTGAGCGCCACTGCAAGGTGGAGAGCGGCGGCTATTCGAGCATCGACGATGTGGACGCTGACGAGCCCAGGCAGGTGGACAAGATGGAGACGTTCTGGCTGTCCGAGACGCTCAAGTATCTCTACCTGCTCTTTTCGGACCGAGATCTGCTGCCGCTCAACAAGTGGGTGCTCAACACCGAGGCGCATCCGCTGCCGGTGTTCGAGCCGACCTTTCCAACCGGCTTCAAGTAGCTTTATGCTCAAGGGTTAGCGTCGGATCTCGAGCCTCAAGCTCGGATTTACCCGACGCATGTAAAGCGCTGCCAGCCGATGCGTCACTGGAAACTTAGATCTTACTTTGGAAACGGTCGATCGAGCCGGATCGAGTGTTGGCTGGTGTATGTGTGCGTAGCTATGCAACGCTGCAACGCTCTGCCCTCGGTGAGAGTGGATGATGGCACGGACGTAAGATCGAGGCAGGTGCGCATAAGCGAGCTGTGCTTCCCCTGAAAACGTTGCGCACTAGCGTTGGACCCTTGCCGGTCGCGAGCGCGGAATAAATTGCAGCGGCGGTGTTCTTTGACGTGTTTCTCTTGCAGGTTTGACGTCCCGTCAAGCCGGCCCCTTTGGTGGCGCGGTGCATTGTGGATCTGCTTGGCGATGGGTCGGGGCTTGGAGTGTTGCAGCGATGCGACAAACGCGGAGCCAGAGCTTGTTTCGGCCAGAGCTTGCGACTAAGCCAGAGCTTGTGCTGACCGTTCGCGACTGGGCGGCTTTCCGATCCCTGCGCTGCTGATCTTGGCGAGCACTCTGAGTGCGGATAGGGTGCTGCCGAATGCATATATGTCGCGGAGCAGAGGACCTGGTCTATATCAGTCCGCACCTTGCTTCCTCAATCGTAACTGAAGTGCTCATCAACGATGCCGGTAGCGACCAAGACGCCGTTTACGCTGGGCGGGGTGGTGTCCAAGTACGTGTCCTCGCGTCGGGCGCGTGTGCAGGCGCAGAAGCAGGCCCAAGGCACTACTTCCGGTCCAACAGGTGCGGAGGTGGATGCACATGTAGCCAGCACGCTCACGCGCAAACAGGCCGCGCGCATCCCTGCCTTCCTCGAGCCCGACTCGATCGACTCGCCCACCGAGCAGGCGGACGCAGAGGGTAGGGTGTTGGGGCTGGAAGATCCGAATGAGCCTTCGCTCGTAGACGACGCTCACACCGCCGTTCGCACCACCGCCGTGCCTACCGTTGTTCCCACAACACCTCTTACCGATGCAGCATTGCTGGAGCAGGTAGCGACCCTTACGCACGGGGGACAGACATCCGTTCCTGTCTTTCCCGCACCTACCGACGTCTCTACGCAAGTGGTGGATGGGAACCAGTCTGGCTTTGTCGACCCACGTACCTACGGCGGCACATCGTTTGACCTCGTCGGTAACGGCGAGCACGAACCTCTCAATGTCATCATCTCTTCGCTCTCCTCGCCCGCCATCCTCACACGCAAAGGGTTCCAATCCTACTGTCGCTCGCTCGACTTTGACCGCGAGTGTCTCGGCCTTCACGCCGGAGGGGCGCAGAAGGCCTACATCGACCCACGCGGTTGGCGCGACCAGGAGTTCCTCTACCGCCAAGTGTACACGCCGCTCGACCACGTCTTTGGCACGTGCATCGAGAGTCTAGTTGGTGGCAACCACATCCGAGCCTGGCAGCAACAGGGATCCGGGGCATGGTTCCTGGCGACTAGCAAGGAGATGGACGCGTCCAAGAACCACATGATCGTACCCGATGGATACAATGTCGGTCGGAACATCCTCGTGTCTCTCGCAATGGGCAAAGGCGATGGAAATACGAGCTTCATGGGGACGAAGTACCATACCGACGTCACGTTTGTTGCCGGACTCATGCCGCCAGGTATGCAGGGCGTCAACCACGATATTGCCGTCGACGGCTTGACTGCCGTGCTCACCGTCGCGATCCAGTCGGACGGGGCGTGGTTCTGGGCTAAACATCAGAAGAACACAGAGGCATTCCCCGTCGAGGTTCCCGTTGCGGGAGGTATGGTGGCCGCAGAAGAGCCTGAGGAGACCAAGGTGCGCAGGAAGCGCTTCAGCCTCGCACGCATTGTGCGGCCGAGTGGCGAGCAGCACCGCGATGAAGCGACTGCCGCCAAGCAAGGCCATGTGTGGGACAAGATCAAGCAGATCACCAAGGCGCACAAGACGCCGCAGACCAAGCAGCCGGGTGACGATGCAGCGCTGCACAGCTCGGTCGATTCCGGATCGACGACCGCCGATGTGGCTCAGCTGGGCGTCAGCACCGACACGGCCAAAGACGCTCCCGTGCCAAGCGGAATTCCTGATGCTGCTCCTACCATCGCCTCCTGAACTGCATCGCTGATGCCCATAGACAATACCTTCTCCCTTGCTGCGCTCTTTCCTGCTGTCCACATTACCGCCCGTTGCCCCGATAATACCACGTCGTATCTGTGCATATTGTTGCTCGACATTTACTTGGAGAGAGCAGCCTTGGCGGCGTCCTTGCTACTCTGAACGTCGGGGTTCTGACCTTCGAGTTCGCGCTTGACCTTCTCGGTGCAGAACCAGAGATCGCGCAGACGCGGGGTGCAGTTCTTCTCGAGCTCGGCGTCGCCCTTGGACGTGAACTGTTCGAGGCAGCGGTCGTACGCGACGACCTGTGCGACACAGCGGTTCTTGATCTCGTTGAGCAGGGGTACCGCACTCGCAGCACAGCGCGAAAGCTCGACCTTGTACGGCTCGCAAGCACCGGGGTTCTGCTGGTTGGCGAGGATGCAACGCTGGAACGTATCTGTAGCGTCATCCAACGTCAGTCGAGCGCGAAAGAAAGGTGCGAGTAGTTTGAGTGGGACGTACCGAGCTGCTTGCTGCACTTGGCAGCTACCTGGTCTATGGACGACTCCATCTTGCGGCGTACGTATCGAAGGATGACGGTCGGGAGGCAAGGTGGCTTTCTCTTGATTCCTCCACCTTTTGTCTTGGAAATCAGCCGATCGGAATCTTGCCTTTCGAAAATCGCCGATTCGGATCGCTACGCCTCCACTTTTGCGCAGCACGACTGAGCCCGCAACGACACTGGCATGGCTTGACATTCTTCTTCCAAGGATCCAAATCCAGACAAGGCTTACGGATCAGCATGGCGAAAGGATCATCAATATGGACCGACCAGCTCGTATCGCTGCTTGGACTCGACAACGAGACGGTGCGCACGCAGATCCTGCCGTTCCTCGACTCGTTTGATACGGAGCCGGCGCTGCGGTCGCACCTGCAAGGCCTGGTGGGCGACGACTCGCCGCTCGCACGTTCGTTCGTGCGCGACTTTGCACGTTCTCGCTTTCCGCAACAGGCATCTTCGGGATCGTCTACGCCCACGCTGCCTGCACCGTCCAGCTCGGCGTCGAGCGGCGCACCGAGAAAGCGCGGCAAAAAGACGCTCGCTGAGCGGGCTGGGCTGGGCCAGACGCTCGAGCCACGCAAGGTGCAGGATGCAGGGCTGAACGAGGAGGAGCAGATGGCGAAGCTCGCCGAAGCGTTCGGAGGTATGGGCACGGTGTATCGCAAGAAGAACGACGACGAGGACTTCTTTACAGGAACGGGCAAGGGCAAGAAGCGAGGTCAGCCGGCATCCAAGGCAGATTCCGCGCACGAGCCAGGCCCTGCAACTCAACCAGACACTTCGGCGTCTGCTGTAATCGATGCGACACCACCGAACGAAGCGATGCACACTGCAACAGCGGTGGACGAGGAGACGTCGGCAGCGGTGCACAGATCGCAGCCCGCACCTCCACCGACGGCGGCGATGGCAGCGATTGACGCGGTGGTGGAGGAGCTCACACTGGACCCACCTTCGCTGCCAGGCGCTGGCTCTGACGAGGTGGTGCGCAAGATGTGCTTCTGTCAAGGGCGCAAGCACGCGCTAGCTCCGCATGCGCCGCTGTGCTATGCGTGCGGCTTGGTGCTATGTTCTGCGATCCTACCGTCTCCGCTGAGCCCTGCATCGCGCTGTCCGTCGTGCGCTGCATCTCCGCTGCTGTCGGAGGCGGCACGCTCGGATCTGGTTGCCAAGCTGACGGCGGAGCGCGAGGTGCTGTTCGAGCAGCAGCAGCTGCAGATTGCGCTGCAACGCGAACAGAAGAAGCTCAACAAGACCGCGGCGCGCTCTGCCCGCGAGCAAGAGGCGGCGCTCTTCCCCAAGCTCGGCGATCAACCCGTCGCAACCGCATCGGCATCGAGCACGGCGCCGGTGATTGGCAAGCACGGATCGCTGCAAAAGGCGCGCGCGATCGCTGGCGAGGCCGAACGCACAGCCAAGGTGCTCAGTCTCGACATGAAGACGCACAAGCTCAAGACGCACACCAAGCTGGCCAAGCCCAAAGCAGCTGCGGCGGCAATAACCAAGGCGGTGGAGACGAAAGTGGAGGAAGAGCAGGACCCATTTGTGGGAATGGATGGTGCACCGCTCGTGCGCAATGAAAAGGACGACGGCATGCACGCCCCGCCACGTCGGCGCAGGGTATCGTCGAACGGTGTGGGCAGGCGAATCCCACCTCGGGCGTGGGTGTTGGCGGGTGAAAGCGTAAGGCTGCGACCCACACCTTCTATCAAGTAGCCCATTCTGATGAACTGACGAAGCAGTGGATTGATCGTGTGGGGCCGCAGCGGGCGTGATTGTGCAGAATCGAATGATGATGTCTCTGCTGACTCTGCCAGTCATCGATTCACCGCATTCAATTTGTTAGGGATTTATTTGCCAGCTGATTTCCGTCGGTGCGGATCGACAGTCATCCGATTGGCAGTCATGCGCGGGGGGGGAAGCCAAAAAGGCGCGGAAAAAGGGCGTGGAAATGCTGAAAAAAGTCTCGGCTATCCATGCCGAATCCAAAGGGTGTTGCTGACTGGACAGAGTAAGAAAGTGGACGCACCAACCAGCGCGCAGCATGCCGTCCAACACGACCTTCATCACCACCCTTCATCTCGCCATTCTCGGCGCTCGACTGCATCTCGCATCCATTATACCCACGCCACATCATACCCGGAACCACCGGATCCACCAACGCAACCACCGCAACCACCACCGCAACCACATCATCCACTCGCTTTGCTCATCCACCACCACCACACCACTGTCGCTACACTGTCGCTACACTGTCGCTACACTGTCGCTAC